AAAAAAAATGGTCTTATTTCTCAACGAGAAATTAAATAAAGTAAATTTGTGTTATTTCACATTCAATTGGGAAATAACACAAATTTGAGTTATTGCCGCTTGTGTTATTTAACGGTTGCATACCTTTCAGTCGAAATCGGGGATGGTTGCGAAAAGTGTCTTGTTGTATGCGTATACAATCCGAGTAATATGTTTGACCTTAGTGGTTTATTCATCCAAGTGGCTGATTTAGTGCCTAAGTATGAGCATGTTTTACTATTCGGTGATTTCAGTATAGATCTGTTAAGCAATGACAATAGGTCTAACGAGTTGATAGATAGATTGGCTTCTGTTGGTTTGCAAGCAATGAACAAATTTCCAACACGTTTTGCTCCAATTGTAAGCCGAGCCAACTAGATCTGGTCTGTGTATCGGATTCTGTTAACATGTTTCACTGCGTTCAATTTTCACTCGCTGCTAGCTAAAAAGAACTAAATAATACTAATAGTAGCTAAAATGAAGAGCTAATTTTTTTTAAGTTGAGTATTTATTGACGTAAAGTCGCTTTACATTTTCCGTAATTTTAATAAATGCAACGGCACTTATTGCCGCTTGTGTTATTTAACGGTTGCATACCTTTCAGTCGAAATCGGGGATGGTTGCGAAAAGTGTCTTGTTGTATGCGTATACAATCCGAGTAATATGTTTGACCTTAGTGTTTTATTCATCCAAGTGGCTGATTTAGCGCCTAAGTATGAGCATGTTTTACTATGCGGTGATTTCAGTATAGATCTGTTAAGCAATGACAATAGGTCTAACGATTTGATAGATAGATTGGCTTCTGTTGGTTTGCAAGCAATGAACAAATTTCCAACACGTTTTGCTCCACTTGTAAGCCGAGCCAACTAGATCTGGTCTGTGTATCGGATTCTGTTAACATGTTTCACTGCGTTCAATTTTCACTCGCTGCTAGCTAAAAAGAACTAAATAATACTAATAGTAGCTAAAATGAAGAGCTAATTTTTTTTAAGTTGAGTATTTATTGACGTAAAGTCGCTTTACATTTTCCGTAATTTTAATAAATGCAACGGCACTTATAACTAGAGTCCGACCGATTCCCAATTTTTGGACGACCGGCCTTAGGGCAAAGAATCGACCGATGCCGATTCCTTACTAAAACTACCTGAATATAAATTCATTAAAGAACAAGTGTTTTTAATAAACTTTTATAGTAACAAAAGAAAAACATACAAAAATAACATTACAAAACAAACAATAATTCAAGAATTTATTCACTTATTTATGTACATACATAAATATATATCAAAGGTAGTATATCGCCTATGCATACATATTATTGCAATAGTCTTTTTCTTATTCAATGTTAAGAAAATAGTTCATTCGAAATCACATTTCTTAGTTGTACTCATAGTAGTAAAAATATGCAGCTTCTGCTGACTATAAAAGTGTTGTATTGAATACAATTTGTTAACAAGCAGTAACCGTAGATTTTCAATGATAAAAGTATTTTTGTAACGTAAACCATTTAACAATGCCGTGAAAACAACCCGAAGGATCTAGGAATTCAGCGATTAATTCAAGGATAATCGTAACAATACTTACAGTAACGATATTTTAGCATTATTTGGCTATTTCCCTTTCGTTTATTTAATGTTTCTTATCTTTTTATGAAAGCGTAGCTCGTATCTAACAAAAGCCGTGTTAGTAAAAATTTCAAACTTTTTCTTTAAACATTCTGAGTATGCAGTTTGGTAGCCCATTCAATTTTATTTCAATGAAGTGCAAATTTTAAGTAACTAGGAGTTACTATTGATTATTGGAAATTTTCTTGCGGAAGGTGTTGCGGATTTTCTACATACGAAAAAATTTTCGAGCATAAAAAAATGCGTGAACAAGAAATTGTCAAAAATCAACACTTACCTAGCTACTTCAAACTTTCACTTTATTATACCGAGATAAAAAAAAAACAGCGAACTCAAAAAAAATCTAAATAATCTGATAAACAGTTTAAAATTTTGATGAACATTTGTTAAAATTGCGGAAAAAGTAAAAAGAATCGGCCAAAAACGGCCGATGCCGATGCCGATGCCGATTAATCGGTCGGATTCTGCTTATAACACTTATACTATGTATGCATATATTTCACGGTGGAGAGAACAGAAGGTGGCGCTGATGGCAATACCGCTAATCGGCTCTCAGTGAATTTGACAGAATCAGCTGTTTTTCTGACGTCACAGTCAAGATGACAGCAGTAGTGATGTGCTGAGTCAATACTTTTAGGTATCCAATACTCTCGATACTCAGTACCGAAACATTTAGGTTTCGAATAAAAGCGCACATGGGCCAAAAATATGGAAAAAACGGTTCAGGGGGGACTCGCCTATCAAAACCCGAATGTAGGAGCCAGTAGAGCTTTTAATACTGTTTCAAATGAAAGATGTATATATGTCGGTTCGAGGCCATAATACAGAGAAACTCTTACTTGTTTGAAGCATTTTTGTTCCAGCTGAATCGGACGATATCATTTTTAAATAGATTCGATTCTGAAACCAGTTAGCAACAATTTTCGAAACGGTATCGGTTTTGTTGACGTATGATATGAAATATTTTTACGATATCCATATCTTTATTGAAATGGTCCCTTTTTGATTTATTCAAGCGGCAACCGTGCGTGCAAGTTGTACTGGATTTTTACTGGATAAATTTTTAATAGTGTCTATTTGCCAGTAAAAAAACTTGCTTAGTGCAATTCACAAAAACAAAACATATTTAAATATACATATAATTACATAGATGCGAAATACTGGATAGTTTCTTACTGGAAAATATGAGAACAGAGCAGCAGAACTGCAAAATATGCAAAAATATGCACTAACAATTGAATACCATTTTAAAGGAAATTCCATGATTCGTAGAGAAAACATGCATTTGCCTGCAATTCCTAGCCCTAACCATAACAAAGCCTAGAGTGCAGTAGAGATGACAGAACGAAATAAAAAATCGATTTTTGAATCGATTCGAATCGAAATAAAAATAATCGATGCAGGAAGAAATCGTCAAAAAATAAATCATTCATATAATTTGCCAAAAAACGCCTTTTACTTAATTTTCTTAAAGAAACAAAATACGGCCTTCTGACCAACACTGAAATCGCAAACATTATTGTAAATATATTTTAAAACATGCATTTCTATAACGGTTTCAATATCTAGATTTACTCAAAAGTTATCAGGTAGCTAAGAGTCTGTAAATACCTAAAAAAGACAACAATATGAACATTCAACCGAAACTTCATAAATTCTTAGCCCTGCTTACGAAAATAGTAAACATTTTCTTCGATTTTTTTATTTGTTTATCACAAAAGAGAAAAAATTTGTTTTATTTCAAAATAAACCGCTATTTTAAAAAATGTATAAAGCTTGCGTATACAGATTTTTTCGCAATACAGCTTACATGTTTTGTTTGTTTTCATATTCAACAATTTGTTATTGTTAAAAATAGCAAACAATTTTATTTTTGTTTTCGCTAACTGCATATTTCACTCCATAATCACCCTTTTTAGAAAATATTTGAGTGCAGTTTTGTAGCCCATTTCCTTCCATACAATGTATGCGCGACAAAATTTTAATATGAATGAAATGCCTGGCACCGAAAAAAAAAAAATCGCAAATGAATCAACGCTATTTTGCAGCCACTTGAAACTTGCACTTTATTGCTGCAAAACTGAATACCCTACATTTTCCTAGAAAATATTATTAACTTATACACTGCCGCTCACTTGTATGCTTTGAAATGTTTTCATTTTTTCAATACATGTGACGTGGTCTACGAAAAGGGAGCTTACGTGCGAAAACTAGTTTTCTGTGAAAAAGCTGTTAAAAGTAAGCAACTCGTTTCGTCAGTTTCTCATTATCTCGTTAATTGTTCTCCGCGCCGGACGTCCAGTAAGTGTTGTTGTTGGTCCAGTAAGTGTTGTTGTTGGTCGGAATATTATTATAGTTCATCGTGTAAGTTGCTAGTGTGGAACATTTAAAAAAGTAACACTGAAGAAGTGACGTTTACTGTTTCTGTTGATTATCGTCTTCGCATTTCGCATAAAATAAAAATACATAACCATGAAAGAAAAATACATAAACTACTCAGCATTATTATTTTTGGCCCATAATACGTTTTTCTAGTGTATAATCATGTCTTTATAGCTTATAATTCAATGTATTTTGTTCATTACCAATAAATTATATTTTGTCGTATTTTTACTCTTCTTTCTCTACATTTTTAGTACACTTCTAAGCAAGTTAGGATTTTCTGCTTTTCACCACGTGAAAAAGCATCTCATCTTCCATCCGAATCAACCAAAAAGTGAAAATTGATTTTTTGACACCTAAGCCCCCTTTCCGTAGACCAGGTCACACATATTATTTTGCTCCAATTTGCACTTTAGCTATTTTTTGTCAAATAAAATAGTGCAAATACTCTAAATTACAGCTAGATACAATATCCAATCCAACTTAATTTTTTGTACTGACTAGCCTCAAATTCAACTTTGATTAAAATTTTCTAGATTTTCTAATGCAATCAATTGAGAAAAATGGAATGTGATTATGAATCGAATCGGAACTAAAAAATCTACAAGAATCGAATCGGAGCGGCTCGATTAATCGATCTTCGATTTAATCGATTTAAAAACGGCATCTCTGCAGACGAGATTTTATGATTTCTTAGTTTTAAACGGGCTAAATACCTTAACTCGCTTAAAAAAATATACAGCTATATCAAAATGACACAGAAATAAAATATAGCATATTTAAATTAGTTTTCATATTTCATTAAAAACGTGGGGTGAAACCTGCGGTTATTATCGAGTAACTAAATATGCAGGTATTAGCTAGTAGCTAATAATTATTTAGTTAGCTGTGTGTGTACCTAAAAAGTATTATTTTAAGTGTGTCACATAAGTTTACATTTCGTTTGAGAAAAATTTAAAACAACGTTTTACTTACTTAATAATCCCGTGCCTGCAGTGTACCCATAAGAACCATACGCCGACCCATATTGCGAATACGCCGCGTTATAAGTGTAGTCTGTTGTTGGCACGACGGATCCGCAGGCTGCTAAAGTATAAAGAAAACATTTTTCTAGGAGATGTAAATAAAATCAGTACAGTACATTTAAGGTGCTGTCTACTATCTAAAATTCATTTCCTACACCAGCGTTTTTACATGCATAAAAACTGTACTGCAATATTAAATACTATTTGTGCAATAACCCAATAAGTGATATTGCTATAATTTAATACGAGGAAGATAACGTGGCGCGGCACAGTGTTGCGACTTTATATAACCTGTTGACAAAAAGAATAAAAGTGTACCGAGTAGCGACTACTTTTGCCTAGGAATAGAGATTTTTGAAATAAGATATAGAAAGGCTCAATACCACTCTCTTCCATGAACGAACGACACAAGATCACGCAAGAGCAAGAGAGTTAATAAAATAAAATTATAGTTTAAAAAACTAAGACCTCCCTATTATAATTGCCATTCGTACTGTCATCAGGTGTGTAACTTGATGAGAATAGAAATCGCTGCATCTTTTAGGCGCATCAATATTACATAGTTACATCCCGAGCTAATAGAGGAAGGTAAAAGTAGATTTTTTGAGTGGGTTCTGCGGCATGTTGTTTCGCTGGAAAACGAAGAAAAGTAAACAAAGCAAAGAAAACAACGAAAACCAAAATTTGCCAAAACTATTGTCAGCCACTTTAAACGCACAATTTATGTAAAATTATTCATTTAAACGCTTTAGAACGTGAATTAACTCTTTTTTTTTAGTTTGAGAAAAGTATAAAATAGTGGTGCTTGTGATGTAAACAAATGCTAAGCTGAAGAACTCGCTTTCGCCAACTTTTTTGCCAAAACCAGTTGCAAATATAACGTCGCGTTCTTGCGTGATCTTGCATTTTTGGTTTATGACTCCCTCCACAACAGACGTTTAGGCCGTCGAGTCCCGCCGGCGCCGCACAGTGTAAGATTTGACCCATCTAGCTGCTTTTAATTCTGTAATTCGAAAACTATTGAAGATAGATTAATAAAATTTTGCACAAGGTACGTTATAAGATAGGCGAAGCTTTTTACAAAAAATTGGTCATTTAGAGTTACTGCCACGCCACCCTATTATATAACTGCAATTTATAAAAATGCAAAAACTGAAATATTTAACTAACTACAAAGGCTAAAATGCCTAAAATAAATATTTAGAATTTCCCTATAACAATGAATTATAAACTGGCAAAAATGGACTCAAAAATAAATTTTTTTTTTTAATTATGTGCGTGGAAAATATCGATAAAAAATCAAGTTGGGTCAACGAAATTCCGTTATAAGTTCAATATTTCTTGCTCTATTTACAAAAGTGGGATACTATTGGAAATGTTGTGAATTAGGCTTTCTCTATTCAAAGCGGAAATACAAGAATTTGTCTCGGCCGAGATGAAATTCAAATAAATTACTCGAAGAAAATGAAATTCCTAGTAGGCCTGAAAAATGAAAATTTCATCAAAACCTGCACTTTCCAGCAGCTAAAATTGAGTTGTTTAAAGTCAAAGAGGAGTGGTAAATAAACTGAGATACAAACTTTATCGAATAGTGGCGGATAACGAGTTTGCGGGTCTAATGAAATTAATAAATTGCTAAAAATAAGTCTAAATTAACATCGTTTTACTTTAACATGCAATACTCAGTCCTAGTTTACTAAAATCCCGAAAATGTATATTCATTAAAAAGAACATACCTAAAAAATAAGACGAAAATGGTATTTTAGCAATTGTTGCATAAATCACAAAACACCGACAAATTAAACATTGCGATTCAGTTCCAAATATACAATTTTAAATAATACTGCGCTCGGTAATCTTCCAAATCGAATCCCGTCCCGCCCTACACTTTGGTTTAAATTTTGTAATTGTTATTGTTTCGTCTTTAGCAGACATTTCTAAAAACATTTTTGACGTTGTTTTGAAATTTGGCGACATAAAATAATGTAATTAATATTTTCTAGAATATGGAAATAATACACTGTGCGCCGAGTTACGGAAATATATGTAGGCGCGCCGCAGCGGCGTTCGGCGCCTAAGGAATTACATTTATGGCCACGCAAACATTACCACGACTTTTTTAAATGAGGTAGAATTTTGTATTTAATGTAATTTTTTTTTTTTTAATAAGTTCACGCTATAACAAAAATTGTATAAGGGTCATTCCATTGTGACTGGTGGGATATTTTACTCCAGAATGTGATTAATTGCGAATTATAACTATCTCATCGGAACTTATAGAGAAGTGAAAGATATTATTTAACATAGAACGGTAACTAATGTATAAAATTCCTTTAAAGAAAATAACAAACAATTTCTTAGTTCTATGATACTATCAATTTCAATGAATGTGACTGGTGGGACCCTGAAAAGAACTCTATTTTACCTTTGTGCCCTGAAAGACTAAGTTTAGCTAAAAAAACTAATTTTCAAGAAAGATATTTTTGTGTTGTAAGATATGAACTATACGCTTTCCTTTTCAATAAAAAAAAAAACTAGGCTGACTTAATCTTCATAGAAATATTTAAAAATATTTAAAGTTTCGACTAGTGGGACAGGTCTTTGTGACAGGTGTAAGGTAATTATGTATGAAGTAAACGTTTCCATACACAAAAATTACAGCAACGGATTAGCGAAATGTAGTGCATTTTAAAATTTAAGTCCTTTTCCTATTGTAAAATCTGCGTTTTGCTAACTTTAGTCCTGCAATTGCCACGCCCATTTCTAGGGGTTTGTCACCTTAAAGAAAAATCTTGCCGTAAAAATAGTATATCTGGATACGTATTCAATCGGAATCCGCATAAAAATTTTACTTTTTGCAAAAACCCGATGTTTAACACCTTACCAAATATATCTCAACATAAGCTTTCGAAAACAAATTCTAAAAAATTGTTGATTCTCACAAAATAAACCATCTCGTCATGAAGAAAAATTTACTTAAAATAGTTCTTGAAAAACGCCCATTTTTTGAACCACGTTTTTTTATAGAGAATAAAACAACGATTACGATGGTATTAATCTAATTTACTGGATTTACATTCAAAAAGTTCAACTGTTAATAGCTAAGTTAGTTTTAAGACAATATTGACCATCTCATATATAGAAATGTTAAGCCCGTTTCTTTATCTTTAAAATGGCGTTAAGATGAAGTCTGTGCGATGAGCAGAACCCGAGATATTACGATTTGAAGAAGTACATACATGATTAGTCAGAATCACGAAAAATGCAAACTTTGACAGAAAAAAAGGAAAAAAAATTCGTCGAACACGTTTTAGGCTGTTTCATGTATAGAACACACGAAAAAAAATTTGAAGCGAATCGGAGACATGACATATTTTTTTTACGAAATCCGTCCGACTTAAGAAAGAATGGCTCTATATAGATACTTTTTGAAAAGCCTCTCATTGTGGAAATCTATAATTGTGGGTAAATTTTTAATAACAGATCATATTTCTAGTGTTTTATTACATCATTACTACTAAAAAACTGTAGGTTGTTTCTGATTTTGTTAAGATAGTTTTCGAAAAGTTTAAAAAACTTATACATTTTTTATATTATTTAACATATTTAAAGGACCGAAAGTAATGTGTCACAGGGATAGATTTTAAATATCGTATTTTTAATAATATAACGAAGTATTTCAAAATTTCAATTTTGTGGGAAACGCAATCAAAGTTTTATCAATTCATACAGTTGGTATACAAAAAGACAGATGAAAAGGCACATATCTTCACCATATTTTGGAACTTTGGTTTTCTGTTATACTGAACATATTTTACTTATCAAGTTTATTAATTGCATAATGAAATCTCAAAAAACGTAAATTTTGAGTTACATCTCTATATTTATTATTAAACGTGCGAAATATTTTAGTAGCATAATTTTTAAACGATTTTCTTGTATGAGTATGTATAAATAGCTTAAATATATAAATACTTATATAAATGCGGAAAGATTATCTAGCGATTATCTCGTCATAAGAGTCTTGTGGGAGACAAGTTCTTTGAATTTTTTCCTTATGAAATTTAACCCTCCTCTAGCAGAGCCCGCGATCATCCTATCGGATACTTCTTTAATTAACTACTTATTATACCTTTTTGGATAGCTAAAAAGAAATATGTACAAGTTTTTAAAATAATTTGTAGAATTGCTTCCATGCAAAGATTTGTTTTAATGATGTGAAGGAGGGGTGCAATAAGACCATACGCAATAAGGCCATAATGGCTTTATTGGGCTTGAAGATCGGAAATAAAACCATAATTTCGATACGGCCTTATTTCCAGCTAGAAATAGAAATAAGGCCAGTACGGTTTTTTTGCGCTCTTTTAAATTTTTGTTTGGAAAACATAAAACCAGTTTTTATGGAGAAGGGTGGGTGGCGGCTCGAACGCAATGCAGCGGGACGCAGGGGAGCGAGCAAATGTGCACCGGCCAAGTTATGCATTCGCAAAATTAAAACTTACATAAGTATATATATTTATATTCAAATATCCAATAAATCCGGAAATATCAAATAATTATTTTTTTCATTTTATTAGTGATAATTTGTATCAATTTAAATAATTCAGTATCATACGTACATACATACGTATGTATATGTTTTATCAAAATCGAACAAACAAGCTTATTCAATACGTAGCAAAGATCCACTTAACTTAACTTCGGCGCGCACATAACACTGTGGGTAATAACGTAGCCGAGATATTGGTACGGCTAGAGCTGCTACTTTAAAGCGCGGCCGAAGGTCGCCTACTCAAAAAGGAGTTGCGCGCGCAAAAATATTGCATATGGCATCAGCGATGCCAGATTGTGGGTAATTTTCCTATTTGAGGGATATTTTACAACAAAAATTATTAAAAGGGGAAAAGGGACATTTCAAATAACAAATGGACATTTCAAATAAAAAAGGGATTTTCATTTAACACAATTATCGATGCATAATTGATCAACATTCAAGAATATTCGACACTCTTACGTAATTAATCGTTCTGAAGATGTAATGTGGAGTAAAATTATGTATAA